AATATCGACATTTTCTTATACTTTTTGTAACACCGTGGTTTTGGCTGACTGTTAAGAGTTTTGCCACCGACCTAGAATTGTACTCATAAGGGCATAACTTTCAACACTAATATATAGATTAACATGGAAATTTCAAGTGTCTAAATTTTGTTAGATCGCGTGGGTCAAGTTGTAGAGTACTAGAATCTCCCGGGTTCTAAGAAGAATCTTTGTGATATTTCAAGCATGGTTTTTACTTATCAGGGATGTCGCCTTTGTAACTGACAAGGAAAGTGGGACAAAACACGAGGTACATCTGTGTTGAGCGCAGACTGCCCCTCGCGGACAGATACTTTTTGTTGACTAATCTGTGTTGAGCGCACACTGCCCCTCGCGGACAGATTACCGCCGCGTATGCGCGAGTCTCTCTAATTATTGTTGACTAACCTGCGCGCGCTGAGAGTGAACTCTGTGCACGGTATTTAATGGATTACCGCACTGATAAATCGCCATTGGCGGCGGGCCCGTGGGTCCGGCTGACAGTCAACCCTAAATTTATCTACCTTATATAAGATCGTAGCATTTATGGCAAAGCCGACCAGACTGCGCACGTTCGCCATTCATCCATTTCTTACACCCGGAGATTCTCCTTTGGATAAAATTCACCTTTGGAGTTTCCCTGCAAGGACATTGTTTCTTACTAAAAAAAAGCCGGATAAAGCCTATTAATTTTTGTGACTTCCTCTGGCAAGTTTCTTGGGAAACACTTGCCTACGATATCACCCCTGGTGGAAGTGGACGTAAAACACCGGGAACGAACGAATGATAATCCGCCCCGTCATTAAATGTTTCATCTGTTCTGTACATATATTTAAATATTTCATCAATCCGTTCAATTTTTCGCTAATCACCTTGTAAATATTTTGTTTTTGTATATATAACATGTCTGCGATATCACTTAGGTGGAAGCGGGCGTTAAATAAAGCTATTTAACACACTGATAATCCGTCTAATCCCACTCGGTATTCACCATGGATCACTGCATTAGTCTTATTCGTTTTAATGAATTTAATAAAATTCTGTCAACTGTTTGTTATTAATGTGTTTATTTCAACCATACAAAACTAACACTGAGGTTTACAGTAATGAAAGCAAATATTTGTGGACATTCAGTCACGCGATCAGTTGACGTATAGCGAAGATTATCTGCGGACTCGAACTTAAATCTTATTCGTACACAGTGATATTGAAAATTATTTGAAAAACCATTACAGAACAAAGTCGATAGAGGACAGATCCTACATGGGGTGCCTAACAGCGCAAAGTTGACAAACGCGCACCAGCTTGATATGCGCAGGGTCCAATCTGCGGGGACAAAGCGGACTCTCCGCTATATGGCAGCACAGACTGCAATCTGCGCGAGGGGTGGAGAATGCGCCCAACATACACATTGGCGTACTCGCAAAAGAACCATTGACAGTTAGAATTCGAAGAAGAGCAACGGAAACGCTACTGCCCAGGCAACAGTATCTCGAAAATTATAAAGAGTTAGATTTGGTAAGATATATTTTCTCTGGTGATTTGAATATGTTTTCCAATCGATGGCTATGTACATTACAGGTTTGCAGCTGTCGACGAAATATACATTTGGTGAAACAGTGGTTTCATCTCGTTTATAATATCACCCTGTTTATTGCGATAATGGCCATGCTAGAAGTGTTAAAGTTTTTCACGCTACATATTTAAAGTGAGAAGATTATACAAGTGTTTATGACTCTCTGGGGTATTATGTTATATAAATGTGGTATTTGATATTATACTAATAGCTAAAAAGTCGTTTCACGATTACCAACTCTGTCGGGAATTGATTTTTTAAAACAAAATCCTTAAGCACAATATAATTGGGTTCCTTTCTAATACGCCAGTTTGCTGGTATTCAGCGGTAGACACAGTTATCAAGACGTTTCTATTTGAACTACCTAAAATAACGACATTCTTAGTGATTACAGATTTCACTGGTAGTTATTTGCAACCTTGTATCTATAACCTTTGGCTTTACTGCTCCAAGTTGGGACGAGTGTCGTGCGTCTGACTCTAGGTACATGTAGCTAACCTTTTTGTTTTATCTGGACAGTGTTATCTTTCTGTAGGGATAGGGACACTAGATCCACGACTTGAATGTACCGGTGTCGCGGTTTAGCTATTGTACCATACTGGGTTCGACTTGAAACAGATTCAGATACATATTTTTTGGTTTCCCTGTTCCCATATTGTCCCTATTTTATGTCCTGTTGCTTCATCTTGTTTTTTGGTAATTTTTTTAGGAAACAGCCTGCTTTTAAAGTACTCAGCTAGTTATTATTAGTCTAAACCTGTACTATTAATTCTACTGCGTTCTATTGAGTTCTATTGAGTACTATTTTGTATAGTATATATGCCTTCTATTTCACTTCAGAAAGGGTCACGGTAACAAGTCAAACCACAACAGTGGTTTCGAATCCGAGATTTAACAAATCCGTGTAGCACTTGTCTGGAGTGGCGCCAGAAAAAAAAAGTAGACTAGCATATGTAACCAATCAATAAAGAAAATACGATATTTTAGTCTCAGAATTACCGATATGGTCATTGCATCATCATTTCATTCCATTTCAGTTTCTCACTACCTATTAATAGCCTTGCTATTCACTTTGACATTTTAGATTGCGACTTGTGTGTACTTTTTATTCTATATTTGGTTGCAGGCTGTGTTTATAAGATCCGTGTGAATTGTTGGGTGACTTGGGGGTAATACATGTAAGGTCAGAATTTCTTCATCCGTGATAACTGGTTGTGCTGATGATATTCGATAATATAACGATTGCATTTACATATTCCACACAACACCTGCATTATTAATAATTATATTGTAGCATCAATGATTTCGTTGTTCAGACTCATACCCCAAATGTATCAATGACATAATCGTCAAGCAATGGTTACAGATATTGTAAGCTCCACTTGTGAAGTGGCGTTTCTGATTAGTTATCTCCCCCTTGACAGGGTTAGCAATTCGGAGTAAACCCGAAAAATTGTAACCATTAATATAATGGATATTCTTCTTTTAAATTTTATTGCAAAAGCAAATTGTTAAAGGCGGTCCAGCTTCTTCAAGCTGTGTCCACACGACAGAGTTCATGTCAAACTGAAAATATATATTAGACCTACAAAATGTCGAACATTTTAACTAAGAGCATAGTTGAACGCAAATCAAGAGAATATTGCTCTGGACATTGTCTTACTAAATCTATCGCCTGAGGTGGTGCGCGAGAAAACAGGTCTTGTTTTTCAAGATGGTTGACGGTGGTACATGTAAGTAGGATGTTGGTGGCACATGTAGGTGAGAGTTGGGTGGTACATGGTGGGATATTTTAAAGCTGGAAAGTCTCTACTTATAAAAACTAAATTGAGCAAGATGAATTTGGATTTTAGAATGCAGTATTAAATTTAAATGTAGTACCGATCGTTAGCTATAATTATGGAGTAGTTCCGGTTAAATTCAAAATTTTATAGCAGCTATTTTTACATCCTTTACCTTCTTCAAATTATTAATCTTATTGCTTCCTGGGAAATGCGACCACCTGTCCAGTTCTGACTCGAACTAAACGCTTTGTTACTGTCATACATGACTGATCTATTTACTAACAATATGGTTAACTTCCTCCCAGGTCCTGTATGAAACCTGATGCTTTTATAAAAGCATTATTGATCTCAAGTAAATCTTGCAGCATCCCTGGAAAATAGCAGCAAAAACAAAAGACTAGGAACAACAATGGAGTCACGTAGGAGAAGAAAATCAACATCCACAGCCATACACCGAATCGATTTTGATTGTATTGTAAAACAAACAGTTCCATTTAAGACAAATTCCAGCGAATGTCCTTCAAATATTAATGTTTCATTTTTTACTTAAAAGCTTTCAGGTTTTTCATCATTTCGTGTATCTTGATCATTTGTATGATAATAGCTTCTTCTGGAAATTGAAGCGCTTTTAGTTTCTGATATTATGATTTAATGATTTCGTGAGTAGATCCAATGTGTGTTTTTTCTCTGTTTTCCCAAATGGGAAACACGGTGGCTAGGTGGGTAAGGCGCTGGCTCGCTAGCCTGGAGGTCGGGTGTTCGATCCCTGCATTGGCCGAGAAAGTTTATCCCGATTTTTCCGACATGGTTTCCCCTTGTCAGTGATGCAGGACGGAGGGCCTGACAAGGACAGCTGTCTAGTCCTTCGGATGAGACGAAAAATCGAGGTCCCGTGTAAACATTGGAATGCACTTAAAAGATCCCTCGGCAGTTGGAATTCGATATAAGAGTAGGCGATAGTGGCGCCGCCCGGGCAAAATTTCCCTCATAGCACAATCACTGTATGGCGTATGCCCGTCTTCATTAGCCCAGTATAGGAGCAGAACAGTAGGACGTTAAACCCCATTTCATTTCATTTCATTTCGTTTTCCTAAATCTAAAAAAAGCACTGAATTAAAATGTATCATGTGCTAGTCCCCAAGTTACCTAATCAGTATTGAGTGGACGTTAAAGACTATTCATCCACACATCATCGTCTTAATTAAAGCTGTATGATTTATTTAACAGGTGTTAGTCCAGAAGTTACCTAATCAGTGTTGAGGAGACGTTAAAGACTATTCTTCCACGCAACATTGTCTAATCAGTGTTGAGTGGACGTTAAAGAATCGTCTTATTAAACACGTGTTAGTCCAGAAGTTGCCTAATCAATGTTGTGTGGACGTTAAAGATCATTCATCCACGCATCATCGTCAAATAGATCAAGGCTATAAGCTGCATGTTTGAAAGTACGTGAATATTAATTAAACCTATACAACCACCTGCGATTTTTCTTCTCTTCAAATTAATTGACGGAAACGCGCGTTCTTTATTAACAATTTTCTTTTTTTCAGATGATCGAATATCATTAACACAAGCGGCTTTCTTTGTGTCTGTTATTAAGATTTATATCATTTTTCTTTCAGACGAATGGATCGTAAGAAACTTTGAATTAAGAAACATAAAAGAAAGAATTATGAAGGAAGATAACACGAAATGGTAATAACAAGGTTTTAATATTTAAAATCTAAATCCTAATGAAGTGTTTTAAGCCAGATTGTTTGGTTTTGGTTTTTTTTGGAGATTTTGTATTTCTGATTCACACGAAAATGAAGGTTTTTAGATGAACTATTTAAAGGAAATGAAACGAAGTTGGGTTTAACGTTCTTGATATCATGTTATCATCTTGATGTCATCTTGGGGGACTGGGTGGTAGAGTCATCAGAATGGCCCCGATCAAGTGTCCAGGTTTTGATACTATTGTGATTAACCACTGAATTTTCTCCTGGTCTTTCTGTTTTCTAGCGCAATTGAAATAATGTAAGCAATGATTGGCGATTTTATTTCCTCCAATTCTGTAGGTTTTATAATAATTACATAATAAATACACTATAAGTGCATAATAAATAAATAATAAGTATATATACGATATACGATTCAATTAAACAAAAATAAGTTAAACATGGTTTAATAATGTATTTAGATTATCAATTTGCATCACAAAAATAGTGGTCATTATTTAAATGAGATAATCTAACCTTCCACAGAACACCGAATACAAAATGTAAATACATTTCTGAACAAGAAGAGATATGCGTCTGATTTAAGTAGCATTATCAAGACTAAATATGAAAAACAAAAAATCTAGTTCATTTGCATGTATGGGATTGAACAAGTCATTTGTGGTGATCTGTGTTTTTAATTTTAAAAAGAATATCTTTCTTATGTTGTCAAACCAATATACGCCTTGTAGTGTGAGATATGATGTAAATTTAATTGGAACAAATAGACGTTTTGTAAAGTAATGTAGGCTATAATTTTAACTTAATCAGAAAAAATATACGTTTTGTAAAGTAATGTATGCTTTGATTTTAACATAATCAGAACAAATAATATACATTTCTTCTATATGTATTGGGGTTTAATATTCTATATTAGCTTTCTGGGTCGATCATGTATGTTTGATTGGTACAATATGACGCCAATAATGTTTTGTTCATTTAATTTATGATTTATAGGTTAAATATATACAAACCACTTTCATGTTTGTATTTCTGTTGATATTTTACCCGAGAGAATGGAATCACGATGATTATGGCGCTGGTTGACTAAGCATGGGTTCACGATACGTGAACTGATCGTTCATTCTGTAAGGAGTTAGTCATCCCATCAATGGTTCGGTTTTCATTTTTGCTCCCATTTGTAAAGTGTTGTAAATTTGTAGAATAGCTTACACACAAAATGGATCCTTTTATGTAATGTAGACATGTATACAGATGAGGTAACATCATATAAACAGCTACGACACTGGGCTATGTGCAGACATGCCTACAGGTACGGCAATGGGATATATACATGTAGATACGGCAACGAGGTCTGTAGACATGCATACAGATACGGCAATGGGATATATACAGCTACACCAACGGAGTCGAAAGACATGCATACAGATACAAAAAAGGGGTATATAGAGCTAAAGCAGAAGGGTTATAGACATAGAAATATATCGAGGTAATAACAGTATCTGTTCCAGGCAGATGTTGCTGGTTTGTGCGCTGAATTCGCAAAACGACTACCTATTCAATTATTTCAGAGGTTCTTATTTGGACAATAATCCGTAATAGCAATTTTTCGAAAAAATGCGTTTACTTTAAGAATTTGAAAATTATTATTGAAATCTTATTCATTTACAGTCTAAATCTATCATTACATGGCAATTTAAGTGTATAAAGCTACACCAATTAATAATCCAATACGACCAGAGTCAAAGCAACAATAAATTATAGTCATAACGGCCATAAAAAAACGACAAATTAAATATTTAATATTCGAATCTATTGATAAATAATTTCATACAATTCGACCAGCTATTTTGCCGTTTTGACTTATGTAAATTTTGTCCATTTCTGTTTACGTCTGTTTTGAAATACTCTGTTTTGCTTCTACAGAGTATGCCGAATGTCGCAAGATTTTCAATTTATCACATCTTTGGAAATACTGAAGGGAATAGTAGGACAAATATTCGTTTTAGAGACTCAACTTCAAAAATGTTGGTCAAATGACGAACATAGACTTTAAATAACCAATATGCATTTTACACATGAATATTAGCTAGTCGATTTTCAGTGAATATTTGAACACTTGTTGCCTACGTGTCTTTTTCATTTCTCTCTCTTTATCAATATTTGATTTACTCTATTCCCACTGGTACGTATTTAATCAGATTAGTTGTAGCTGAGTAGAGCATGCGGTATTAGTGAGCAATTATTGTTCTGGAATCTTTTCTTGATGACTGGTAATAATTTCCCCCGAGGTTTAACATATTGAAAGTGTGTACATATATATTTGATAGTAAAGAGTGAAATATTTCAATGTGACAGGTTGAATATTGATAAAACAAATAAACCACCGTCGAACAAAACATATCCACAAACGGCTTGATATCAATATTGGTCCCGTAGTGATTCGTATTCCATTAATAAGCAGGTCCGCGGTGAATTTGGTTCTTCATTCAAGTGGTCGTTATTCGTGGAGAATAATGACCAACATGATAACTGCATCATCAAGTTAATAAAGCACTGATCATTCTCTGATACAATAGCTTGGAAATTAAGTTAACAATTATGCAACTATTCATCCAATCCACTAATTGGTCTGGATTATTTATATCCCAAATGACATGGGGTTGAACGTGTTACTTTTCTGCACCAACAGTGCTAATGATGATAAATGATGATGATGAATATGATGGTGACTTTATTTATTTTTTTATTTTGTCAATGTAAATATATATACTTTTGAAATTGGTACATTTTAGTAATTGTATTGAAATGTAAAATTTACATGGAGATGATTTATATATCCTTCGGATTGTTTTCAAATCCATTATATCAGTATTGCAAATACTCATGTTGTACTCGTAATACAAATATTTTTTAAACCAATGTGCTTTCGGGGAAATGATGACTGGGCAGTGGCTTTATCGCTTACTCTTCTGTGAAGTCACACTGTCAAGGGTACGTTTACGTGCATGCCAATGTTTACATGGGATCTCGTTTTTTTTGTTCCATCCGAAAGACTAGACACGTTTTCAAGTCAGCCAAAACCATACTCACCGAACCACCGTGGTCCCGGTATGTATCTAATCATATAATATAATTGCTGTTAAATACATGATTCCGGAGATTGGGGGCTATATGTACTTGAAAACTATATTTTGCTGATATAGTATCTCTATGGCTACTGCTAAAGAAAGACCCTGGCGACTCCTGCCTGTGAGGAGGTTGTCTTTAACGTCCACTCAACACAAACCATCTGATTGGTGGATATTAAGACAATATACCCAGGATAAAAATGTTAATAAATATATGTTTGAACAAAGATTGGTCTAATTACTAACTGAAAACCAGTCAGAATTTTCCAGATTGGTTCCTCTTTGTCTGTGATGCAGGTCGGAGGGCCCTGCAAGTAAAAGGTTCAAGTCATTCAGATTGGAAGAACAACCGAGGTCCGATACATTTTGATTGCACGTTAAATATCCCCCGACAGATGGAAATCTTCGATTTTAAATCCTCTTATAATTTTTTATATTATGTTTGTGAATTGACTTGGTGGCAATGACGGTTTGTATAAGATGTTTATATAATCAAAACCCATAAACAATACCGTAAATTGACTATAATGGTTGGACAGGCGACCCTACTCCTTGTCGCGTACAACTGGGGAATCGAAACCACGACAGACCTTATGATGCAGCGTGACCCAACCCTCCTAAAATGGATGCAACATGTTTATAATCAAAACCCATCAACATTACTGTGAATTAACTGACTAACGGTTGTAATAGTAAGAGCAGGGGGACTGCACCACACACAAGCAAATATACAAGAGAAATCGACGGAAATGAATTGAAATTGGGTTTAACGTCCTACTGTTCTGCTGTGACTGGGCTACTGAAGATGGGCATACGATATGCAGTGTGCTATGAGGGAAATTTTGCCCGGGCAGAGGCACCATGGTCTACTCTTATAGCTAATTCCAACTGCCAGGGGATATTTTACGTGCACGCCAATGTGTACACGGGACTTCGGTTTTACGTCCCATCCGACTAAGGGGATATTTCTCAAACGTTGTATAATACTAGTGGAAGCTACATGAAATATAAATGTAGGCACATTGAAGTAAAATACCTTTATGAGTACCATTTACGTGAAATTAGTAGAAAGCAAAGTGAAAATTAAATGGCCTATGTAGTAATAAAAGAATAGGGTTAAAACATTATAGGTGTGCTAAAGAATTCAAGTGTATTAATTACAAAGTTAATGCATAAGTCCTTGTTTATATAAACATAGCAATAAACCAAAACTGAATGCAAACAAGTAATATTAACAAAACCCAGCAACAATGATGAGCATTGCCTGGATACATAATACACTGTCTATATAAGATATTTAAAATAATCAAATCCCAGATATAATACAGTGGAGTAATATTGATATAAGATTTAGAAATAAAACATCGATGATAATTATTAATAATTTATAAAACACTCTAGAAAAAATAACATCATTTAACCATTAACTATAAGCTAGTCTATAGATTTTTTGGAAATGGATTGATAAAAATGATATAGAGGAGGTTTATTGTCCCCTACCTACTAACAATACTCTGGAGGTTTTGAGTTTAGAGGTACATTAACTCTTTGGAGGTATTCGCCTTTTAGTAAAAATACTATTTACGAGTCGTTATGTATTATGCAGTATTTTTTAAAGGGGTTAAATACTTTCGTGAACACTATACCTATTAATGGGTTAATGCTCAGAATTTCGGTGAGTCTAAATGGTTATTGTGATTGAGAAAAAAGTACAAATTATTCTAGTTTCTTTAACTTTGCCCCTCAGATCACCCCCGCCCCCACCCCCGCCGTCCCCAACACACTCATCATATAAAACTGACTGATAAAGTGTCAATTGCCCTTGTAATTGACAGATCTTTAGTCA